CAATAATGGCTGGCCATGACAGCTTGCAAATTTGCTGTCATCTTTAATAAATTGTGAGGTTAGGGCTGAGGAGATGACTAAGTCGGGCTTGCAGCACAATTGTGTGAAACTAAGTTCAATTCACAGCACCAATGTTAAAAAAAAAAAAAAGCTGAGTGGAATAACATACACCTGTAACCCTGAGAAGGCACAGACAGGGGGCAGAAGATTCTTGAGGCTTGCTGGCCAGCCAGTCTAGTGGGATCACTGAATTTCAAGCTTGGTGAGAGACCAATTCTGAGTCCAGAAGCCTGGGATGGAAGTATGGCAATAGGGCTGGTTTCTTCTAAGGCTTCTGTCTAAGGTTACTATTGCTGGGATGAAACACTATGACCAAAACAACTTCAGGAAGAAACAGTTTATTTGGCTTACAGTTCCACATCACTGTTCATCGTGGAAGGAGGTCAGGGTAGGAACTCAAACAGGCAGTAACCTGGAGGCAAGAGCTGATGAAGGATTCTACTTACTGTCTTACTTCTCATGGCTTGCTCAGCCTGCTTTCACCAGCCCAAGGATGGTACCAACCACAATGGGCTGGGCCCTCCGCCATCGACCACTAGTTAAGAAATTGCCATAGAGCTGGATCTTATGAAGGCATTTCCTCAACCGGGGTTCCCTCCTTTCATATAACTCTAGCTTGTGTCAAGTTGATATAAACTAGCCAGCCCAGCTCCTCTTTTGGGCTTGCCAACAGCCATCTTCTTCCTGCGTCTTCACATGGTCTTCTCTCTGTACCCCTGTCCATCTTTAATTGACTATCTCTTTTCCCTAGCTATCTCTAGAAATGACCAACTGTGAGCCAAAAAAATAAAAGCAATTTTGCAATCTTCTTCCCTCTTTTCCATTGCTGCCTTATAACTACCCAACCTAAAAGCAAAGAGAGGTTTGCTGGTTCAGGAACTAGAGATTTTCCACCCTCATATGTTTCCCAATAAAGACCTATCATTGAGTTGCTCAATCCCTTGTCTGTTTTTCCTCTTCACTGACTACAATTCTCACCATGAGACTGAAGCGATCCTACCATGCTTCCTTCAGAACCCTGGTGTCACTTGGAGAGGCCCAAGTGACAGATGACATCCAAAGGAGAGAAAAATTCTCACCTAACAGAATAGCAAACTGCTGCTTAAAAAAGGTAAGTGTTGTAGAAATTTAAAATCCCAAACCAGAGTTTCTACTCCACCTTGATCATTCAGTTCCCAGACGAAAGGCATTCACAACCTTTATATTTACAATAAGCCTTAAACAGCACAAGAGCTGAGCAGATATCTACTCTCTATATTATTAGAATCTAGGTAAGCCTCTAGCTCCTCTAAATCATGGAATTGATCCCCTTTGGACTGCCTTGGGTTTTGCCCAGAATAGCCCTGTGGGTATTCTCAGAGAGAGATTGCTCAAAGAGTCAATGCTATGTAAAAAAAAACAACACACACACATACACACAGAGAGAGACGCAAACATACAACACACACAAGTACATAAATATACATACATACATACATACATACATACATACATACATCTACTTATCCCAGATAAGGAACTAGTATGTGGTGTAGCATTTTCCTCTGAAAATAAAACCTTCCATCTTTGTGGGAGGCTTATTAAGAAGCAAGAGGTTTAAGGGGGGACTAAGGATGAAACAAAATATTCTAAGACATTGGTTTGGAAACTGAGAGTCATGACTGTTTTGAGAGTCAAACAACCCTTTCACAGGATTGCCCAAGACCATCTGCATATCAGATGCTTACCATTCACAACAGCATCAAAATTACAGTTACGATGGAGCGATGAAAATAATTTTATGGTTGGGGGTCATCATGATGTATAGAACTATATCAAAGGGTTGTAACACTAGAAAGGTTGAGAACACTGTTCTAAGAGGCGGTGAAACATTCTACCCTGTAGGGGACCTCATTAAGATCAGAATATAAATAATTAAAAAAAACCAGAAATAACAGCATAAGGAAGTCAGTGAAGCTGACCAGATTCACTAGACCCCTCCCTTTTTAAGCATATCTAAAGCAGTAAAGCCTGCTGGGAGAGACTCTCAGACTAGCTGTGTAGGGGAGTTTCCCTAATTGTTGTTTGGCTAAATAAAGATGGCAGAAGCTGGGTGAAAGAGAAGGCAGGATTTCGAGGGAGGATAGGAAGAGGACGAAGCAGAAGATTAGGAGTCAGACGAGGCAGAGGCCAAGAAGGATGGGGCATGATATTCTTCACCCAGTCTTTAATGTATCTGGTCAGTTTTAAAATATAAAGGTCTCTTTCATGTTTTCCTTTCACGGAGCTAAAGGGAGCTGGGCGAGGCCGGAGTAGCCACTGTGGCGCCAGGCAAGCAGCAAGCAGACACCAGAAATGCTATCATGGGAGCTGAGGGAGACCAGGGCAGTCGTTGGCATTTGGCAGGGCCAGCCACGGAGGTGGCTGATCGGTGAAGGGCAAATGGTGGCTCCTGTCGTTCTCAGGAGGGACAGCGCTGAGCAGCATGGTAGAGCCAGAAGGAAGAGAGGTCTGCGGTGCTATAGAGCCAGGCCGGCAACATGGCGGCTGCTGGTGTCGGAGCCTAGCTGGACCAAGCATGGGCTTCCTAAGTGGAGCAAGCAAAGGTGTGATCTCAGAGCTAAGTTGTGAGGGGCCACAGCACCAGGCAAGGAGACCAGGCAAGGGGAAACATGCTTCATAAAATTATGTGGAAGGAACAGAGATAAGCTGAGCTGTCAGGAAGAGGCTCAGGGAAAATGGACTACTAGGAAAGAACACCCTCCAACCTGCTGGGCTGACTGTACCACACTCCTGCAAGCAACCCTGTAAAGCTCACTGGCTCGCTAAGTCGGACTTTGGTGGTGTCATTACTTTGATCTGTCATTGTTTCTGTTAGACGTCTGCGCGCAGCTTAAGACAAACCACACCAGACCAAACAGTTCCAAGGGTGTGTGTGGGGGGGGTATTCAGGAGATAGGGCAAAGGTGGGGGGAGAAAAATAGAAGAAGATGGAGGAAGAGAAAGAAGAGAGAGGAAGAAGAGAGAAGTGGAGGTCGGCCATGACCACGTGGAGAGAGGGGGGAAGGAAAGGGGGAGGGGCGAGGGGACAGAGAGAAGCTAGAAGCAAGAAATCAAGGGATTAAGGGGGGGGGGGACAAGCAGCCCGTTTTATAGTGGGCCAGGCCTACCTGGCTGTTGCCAGGTAACTGTGGAGGTGGAGTTTAGACAGAATACCAACAGTTTCCCCATCTAGCTTGTTCATATCTTCCCAAGAATAGTGTCAGAGTGTTCACCACGGATCAAAGTGACGAGTACACCAAAGTCCAACTCAGTGAATCAGCGATTTTTTTTTTGTTAATTGAGGTTACTAACCAGAGTATTGGTGAAGGCTTACTTACAGAAGCAGGGATAGCTCAAAACAGTCCACCCATAACAAAAGTGCAACTACGCAGGAAAGCTGCAACTCTGAGATCACACACTGTCCTCCCCAATAGTTGTTTGTTCCTTCTAAAAACCTCGAGAGGGAGCTTCAAGAGTCTGGTGAGGGGAGCAACTGTGTCACACACCTCTATTCTTAGCACTCAGGAGGCAGAGGCAAGTGAGTCTCTGTGACTTGGAAGTCTACAAAGCAAGCTCCAGGATAAGCAGAGAAACCCTGTCTAGAAAAAGCAAACCAAGCAAAAACAAATCTGGCTAGCTACATAAGATGCTGTTTGCCTATTGAGCCTCATAAGCCTTCCGTCTTCCTCCTGGATGGAACATTTCAAATAGGAGGGAACTGCCTTAGAACATCAACATCAGGCTCTATAGGGCTTCTGTGAAAATGGGAGGGGAAAGACAGTGATCCTGGCAGTGGCAGAATGTTAGAGACCACTCCCACTTCCATCTACCTCACTGTCACTTCTGTCCTGTCATTAAGGACATCTGGTGTCAAGTCTGAGAGCTTTCAGATCCCTCAGCAGTCACTAGACTGAACCCAGGAAGACTAGTCTTTTCAATGCCTGTTGTTCTCAAACTGCCTGCCAAGGGACCATTCTCCTGGTCAGGAGGCCAACAGATTATTCTGCAGCCAACCAGAAACAGGTCTAGCTGTGTTTTTAAGAATTACACAGTCATCTGTTACAGTCTGTGGAATGCAAAGACCCATGCTTCCCCACCCCCTGCATCTGTAAATCATCACTATCCTAAGCAGAAGCAAAGGGAAAGGGAAAGTATCTGCACAGGACCCCCAAGACTTATTTGCTTCAGAGGGACAAAAAGCAGGAAATAAGAAACAAAGACAAGAGGTAGAGGACAAAGGAAGAATGGGTTAGGAACACACAAGATGGGAGAGGGTTATTTGTCCCAGAATGGAACAAAGAACTGCTTCGAGATAGACAGAGGTGGCCCATAAAGCAAATGACAGTTTATAAAGGTAAAATGAGAAACCCTGTGTTAGGATGAAGTGTCTCACTAGGCATGTCAATTAGGGGAATGAAAGAGGGCTTTTGATTGACGTACTTCAATAGTTTGATAGCTGTACTTTGGTAGTCAGGCTCCAAAGGAGGAAGTGGCCAATTAAGGGAAGAGACCTTGGTGGCTAACTTTAGGAATGTAAGCTAATAGTTTAGCAAGGCAGAGGGATGGGGGGGACCTAAGGCCGAGGCTGGCCTTAAATGTTCTATGTATTCCAAGACACTCTCCAACTCATGATCCTGTGCCGCAGGTACTGGATTTCAGGTACGAGTCGTCATGTCCATCTGACACTGTTTTAAAGATTTCGTGATGAGGGTAGAGGAATTAAAGCCAAAAGTGCTACTAGAAAGGAAAATTATAAGATTCTTGTGAAATAAGTGGAATTCTCAATGAACACCGCCCAGGACAAAGGTTAAATGAAGGATTCTGGAAGTGTGACTTTGTTCATTTTAAGATACCTTAGTGATCTTGGGTATCACAAACCTAGAGTGTCATTTAACATACTTCTCAACTGTGCCAGGATATACCTTTTCAGAGAAACCATTTTACTCAGACTTTACAAATACACCCCACACCAGGTGTAGTATGGCAGCCCACTACTGGTGCAGCACTAAGAATCCAAAAAACTGGAGACCGGCTTCAAACATAATGAAGAGGAGTAGGAGAAAGCAGAAGTGGAAACAGTGTAATTAAGGTTTGTTTCAGTGACTAAAGAGTCTCAAGCGTGCCAGAAAGTCGACTCTCTCTCTTAATCTGAAGTCCAAGCTTGCCCTGGAGAAGAATTCTCAGCATGAAAGCCAGCACACGATCCTTTGGCTCAGACATCAATCAGCCCCTTCTCTTCAGGGAAGCCAGTGCTGGTTTTGTGGCCCTCCAGCGTCCCCTGCTAGCGTTCGGTGGAGCCACGCTAATTCTGGGGTCCGGAGAGGATAATTGGAGGGTAAGGTGAAAAAGTCCCAAGTCAGGTTTGGGGTCTTTGCGCGCACCCGCTCAGCTCAGCGGCTCCACCCGCAGCCACAGCCCGCCCTCTGCCCGCAGGATTATCTCGGGCTTCCGGCGTGGCTCCTTGTCATCTGGCAGGACGCGGAAGCGCAGCAGTGTCAGTGCCAGCGCCACCTTCATCTCATTCATAGCGAAAGTCTGTCCTATGCAGTTCCTGCGGAAGGATGGGGTGGGGACTCTGACTGTGCCAGAACCTAGACAGGAGCTCCTGGACCCAACCTGACCCAGTCTGGGCCAGGCCTGGTCAGCCCTTCTTCACCTGCCAACCGTGGGTTCTGCAGACTTTCACACATACCCTGAGCAGAGAGGGAAGGAGAACTACAACCCAACCATCATCCCAACTCCACCCTATTCCCACTGACAGCCCCAGATTCTACCCATCACCACAAGCCATCTGGTCTCACCTGGGGCCCGCAGAGAAGGGAATAAAAGAAAGAGGTGACCTCTTCTGACGGTTTTCTGGGTCAAAGCGGGAGGGGTCATAGACCTGAGGGAAGAGGCAAGATGAGGCATCTAGGTTTGCTTCTGTGCACACACCCAGCCCGCCCCAGAAAAGGAGTGCACGTGGAGACTTCTTGTTTCCAGGTTGAGGCCACGCCCCCTCCCCAGGTCCCTCCCAGAAATCCCTGGAGGAGCCCCTACCTCCGGGTCTGGCCAGACTGAAGGATTGTGATGAATACCAAAGATGCTGATGACACAGATGTTCCCTGTTGGGTAAGAGGATCCAGTCAGTAATAGGTCCAAGCTGCCCCTAGGGACTGTCACCCTACTTAGATGAGCCCCATCTGCTTCTCCCTTCACCCTTGACCTTCAGGGCACCTTTAGGTATGACCCGGCCATCAGGTAGCACAATGTCCTGGGTGCAGCGGCGGAGGAGATCTATGGCTGGGGGGTGCAGCCGCAGGCTTTCCTTGATGCACATGGTCAGGAAGGGCATCTGGGCCAGGTCGTCCCTAAGGAACACACCACAGAATTATCCAGGAACAAAATCAAGACTGGACTCAGCCTCACCTGCATCTGGTTAGATTATAACCACTTGCCTCTCATCCTTAGTCAGGTAACAGATTACATTCCAGATGAATCAAGGATGTTTGACCGTTCCTTTGTTTGATGTGTGTGTGTGTGTGTGTGTGTGTGTGTGTAGCTACTAAGAGCAACCTTGAACTCCTGATATATATCATTCTACTTCCCAAGTTTTGAAGTCACAGGGCCTTGGATCAAAGATTAACACTACCTTCCCCTCAAATCACAAAAACATGGGGAAGGGGAAGCTCAACCTGAAATATTTCTAATTAAAGCATGCTGCTCCAGAGATACCCTACATTTGATAAATTTGCTGTGCACAAGCTTTAAAATGTTTATACAATGACCTGGATGTAGTGGTACTCAAGAAAATGGAGATTCAGGAATAAAAAGCCAACCTAGGCTACAAGAGACATTAAATCAAAAACTAATTATGTAATAAAGCTTTTTTAAAAGGCAAAATAAAAATCCTTAAAGGCCTGTACGGTTATTTAAATGAATATATACACTCAATAGGAGAGTGGCAGTGGGGGAATGGCCCGTCGTTTTAAAGGTGTCAGTTCTATCCTGTTCTTTCCTGTTGTTTGTTTGTTTGTTTGTTTGTTTTGACAAAGGGTTTCTCAGTGTAGCCCTGGCTGTCATAGAACTTACTCTATTGACCAGACTGGCCCCAAACTCAGAAATCTGCCTACCTCTGCCTTTAGAATGCTGGCATTAAAGGCCTGCACCAATAACACCTAGCTAGTTCTTTCTATATTAAATTTTTAAGTAATATCCCATAAACTTTTAGCTGAGTTTTCTTTTCATTTTAAAATGCAGTTTTTATATTTCCATATATGTATGCAATGTACACTAACTATACTCAGCCTACACAGTAATCTCTCTCATCACTCTCCCATGCCTGCTGAAACCCCTTTGTCTGCCTATCCAGTCTCCCTTCCCTTCTACTTTGATGCCTTGACTTTTCTGTTTATGACCTGGTGAAGTTAACTAATGTTGCTTGCATAAGAATGAGTGGTGTGTGTGTGTGTGTGTGTGTGTGTGTATGTGTGTGTGTGTGTGTGTGTGTTCCTGTGTCTGTGTCTGTGTCTGTGTGTGTATTTGTGCCTGACAATCCTCTCAGGACTGGTTTTTCACAGGCCCTGCAAATCTCCACCACTAACCCGTCCCCACTTAACAACTTCACTCTAATTAGAAGAATGAATATCCAATAAAGTTGAAGCTAAAGTCCATGCAGAGGAAAGTGATTTTAAAAATAAAAGAGGGATCCAATCTACCACTCACTAAAACTTATTGTGAAAATATAGTAATAGATATGAAAACATTTTATTAAATACTAAGTGACTACTGAGGACTGTGGAATACAGAGCTGAGGTAGGCACAAGAAGATAGTCCACACACTACTGGGAAATAGAGAGATGGCTTGGAGGAAGATATTAAGAATACTAGCAATTAGCAACAAAAAGAATTAAATGCACCCAGGAAAAGAATTCCAATACTGGAGAAGTGGAGACAGGAGGATTTAGGTCAAAGTCAATCTCAGCTAAAGAGTAAGCTGGAGGCTGTCTTGACCTCAACAAACAGCTGTCTCAGTAAATACATACACAAACAAATGTTTGCATATCATGATGGCACACACCATCAGACCCATCTCTTGGGAAGCAGAAGCAGGCAAATCTCTAAGACTTTGAGACCAGCCTGATGTGCAAAGTGAACTTCAGACCAGCCAGGGTAACACAGTATGATCCTATCTAAAAACCAAACAAAACAAAAATTCTTGGCCCCTCCAAATATGGGGTAGATTTCCTCAATACATCAGAAGCACCAAAACTATACGTTAATGAAAATATCTATCATTCCAAAGACTTGTCATTTATTCATGGTGAGACAATCAAAATCCTTTCATTCCCCTTGGTATTTTGCTTTAAGATTGATTGATTGATTGACTGATTGATTGATTTTATGTATATGAGTATGCTGTTGCTGACACAACAGAAGAGGGCATCAGATCCAATTACAGATGGTTGTGAGCCACCATGGGGTTCCTCGGAAGTGAACTTAGGACCAATGGAAGGGCAGCCCTTGTACATTGAAATGTACAAAATGTTACTAAAAACTATACAAAGATACACCATGGGATTTCTTTTCACAGGAACTAAAGAAGAAGTGTCTATGAATGACAAAGAGAAGAATGGTACAAAAGCCAAAAGGAAATTCACAAGATGCGAAGAAGAGAATCAGGAAAAACAAATTGGGTTTGAAAACTTCAGAACGAACCCTAACTTGCTATGTGAGACATAGTTAATTAAATGAACATGTCAAACTGGGCATGTATTCCCTAAAAGCAAAGGTGTTTAGACTCTATAAGCCAGCCTTAGCTACACAGACACACCCTGTAAGAAAGGCAGCAATGAGCATGGTGACCAGAAGCTGTAACAGCAGAGACTCATGCTCACCACTCAACCTCCTCAGTCTCTCGGTCCTTCAGCAGCTCCAGAACCTCCTGCCGGCAGCGCTCCTGGTATTCTGGGTGCCTTGCCAGGTTGTACAGGATCCAGGAGAGTGCACTGGCTGTCGTGTCATGACCTGAAGGGTGGACAAACAGGTTCGGATCTCTGGCCTGTTTCAGCACAATGGGCACCTGTATCCAAATACTTAGGCTCCGAACAAGAATGCATGGAAAGAATGGGGGGAGTCTAGGTCTTCCCACAGTACTGCTAGGGATCGGCAGACCTCTCCTCCTCTCTACACTGGGACCCTCACCTCCAAACATAAAGGTGTCAGCCTCTGCTCTGATGTCCTCAATGGACAGCTCCTTTCCATGTTCATCCTGAAAACAAAATAAGACTCATAACTCACACCATGTCTGAGGTGGTGTTCAGAACACCCATGTGAATACTTGAATTCTTGGCCACAGAGAGTGGCACTATGAGGAGATGTGGCCTTAATGGAGGAGGTGTGGCTTTGTTAGAGGAACTGTCACTGTACAGGTGGGCTTTGAGGCCTCCTTATGCTCAGGTTCCACCCAGTGCAGAAGACAGGCTCCTCTTGGCAGCCTTGAGATGAAGATGCAGAACTCACAGCTCCTCTTCCAGCACCATAACTACCTGCACACTGCCATGCTTCCCTCCATGATGATAATATACTTAACTTCTGAAACTGTATGCCATCCCCAATTAAATGTTGTCCTTTAAAATAGTTGCCTTGTTCATGTTCTCCCTTCACAGAAGTGAAACTGTAAGACAGGTGGTAGGAGACAGACTGACACCCATTGTGCACACAAGGTGCCTCCTGTCTTCTCCACAGCCTGCTTCCATTTCTTCTGTGGTTTCCTGCCCACTGTTTGCTCTTTTAGCAGAGCCTTCAAAAGAGGCACACCTAAAATGGAACTCTGTGTGGTACCCAGTTTTCATAAGCACTGTAACTCCCCAATATCTCCTGGTCAATACCAGCTTCTTCCTAACACTGACCATGGAGGTTCCTGTAACCTAGACCCCACATGGGCCCACCTTGGCCAACAAGAGCACATCAATGAAGTCCAAAGTCTTAGACTTAGTCTTGGACTTCAGGAATTCATCAACACTTTGGCTGGAGAGAGTGCGACGTCTCTCCCTGATGACAGCATCTGTGAAGTTGTGCACCAGATCACAGGCCTTGCGGAAGCGCCGTCCGTCAGCAGTGAGGTAGTACAGGAAGTCCACATACAGGAAGGGCTGATATGACCTTTTTATTATGAGGGAGCTGAGTTCCAAGATGGCAGAAATGTATTCACTGGGAGACCTTCAGGGCAAGGCAGAGAGAGGAAGGAACTTGGCACACAGAAAAGCTCCAGCCAGAGTCCCAGGATTAGGATCCATTGAGAAAAGGGCATCCATGACACAAAGATTCTGTTTCCTGCTCCCCACAAGTACCCTCCTGACCCACGGTCTCAGGGTATATATGGACATCATTTCATTCCCTCACTCACTGAGCAGCTGGTCCTGTGACTCTGACCAGGCTCAGAGCCTCCTCTCAAGGTTCCTTGCATTCTGTATCTCTCTGAAGCTCCTCTGATGATTAGATTGCCCAAGATCATGGTGACAAAGAACCCCCTCCTATACAGACACCTTCTCTTATGCTCTGGGAAACTCAGGATGGAGTTCACACCATTCTGGTTGGTCATTCAACATCTTTAAGATCTGGCCACTTGCTGGAGATGGCTGGTTCCTGACTGTGATCCCAACACTCAGGAAGTGAATGCAAGAAGCTCAGAAGCTCAAGACCAATCTAATCTACACTGTGAGTCCCAAGTCAGACTAACTACAGATTGAGACACTGTCAAGAAAGAAAAAAGGAAGGGGATGGGAGGAAAGAAGAAAAGAAAAAATATATAGGCTGTCTTAAGGGCCTGCAGTTGTTAGCTTTGAAAACATACATTACACAGAGCTATGCCTGGGAGATTAATTAAGCATGTGTCTGTATATGTCACAGAGTTGTTTTGTTTCCAGACGGAGTTAAATGAGTGAGTAAAGCCAGCGCTGAGTGTTTACAGCTTCTTACCACTGGGTGGGGCTACATGAATGAAAGGGAAGGAGGAAGCTTGCTGGCACTGACCAATTCTCTATCTGTCTCTGCCATCATGGTGGAAGCTGCTTGGCCCTGTTACTGCCCACAATGATGCACTGAAACTAATGGGCAGACTAAATCTTCCTCTCTTGTTTTTACTTAAGACAATTTTGCCACAGACTGTAACACAACCTTCAACCTTTTGAAGTGGCCTCATATTGACCTGCATCTTTCACCTGCTGCCCAACCACATCTTTATGCAAATTATTCCACCTCCCAAGGAGGACCACTGACTCTCTCCAGTCCCTGACCCTCACTGCCAGTTTTAACATAACTCTTCTCTACTCCCTATTTGTGCCCTTGGTACACAGCTCATGTTCCAAGACAGAGACAGGGACTCACTCCTGACAGTTGCTGTCAAAGCCAAAGAGGCATTTCTGAAGACTGTCCAAGGTCATGAGGCTGATGTTCTCAAACATTTCCAGACGTGCACTGCCTTCCGAGGATAGGTGCTTCCACTTGGCCTGAAGAGAGGAGGAACAGAGATGTGGACAAGCCTTTGATGGTTGAGCTCCTTCTCAACACTAAACACCAGGAAAGGGTCCTGACACCAGGGAAAACCTAACTTTCTTGGTAGCAGAAGACGTTTTACTGTCACAGATGAAAACATTAGGCTAGGAGACAAAACCTTGAGTTTAATTCTATCTCTGTGTGCCCTTGGTCAGCTTGCTGCCTTCTAGATTGCTCGAGTCTTCCAGAACAATTAAATTGACATGACTTATCACCTGTAAAGTACACTTCAGTGCTCCCTCTACCTTTCATGCTCTCATTCCTTGTAAACCTGGAGAAGACTGACCTCTCTGACCTTTCATTTAATCATCCATAATAAGACAGTCATATTCATCTCTACAACACAGCAATATGGAAATTACATCAACCAATGTAGACCATGGAACTGGCATAATATTTCATATGCAGAAGGTGCTCAATAAGTGTTAGTGGTAATTATCATTTGATGTGGCTCTAGAAATGACTTCAGGGTTTTTGTAAGTCCTCCATTCTCAGTCGTTACAGTGAGTCCATGTAAAGTTTCTGCTTTCTCCCTTTTAAAACCAAGATTTTCCTTACTTGACAACCAGAGTGAACTCAGCTCTATAAAAGACCTTAGGTTTGGTTTGGCTTTTAAATAAGTTTTGACCATATTCACTCATTCCCCAACGAACTTCTCCCTGGAGGATCTTAGTTTTTGGAAACAAGGTCTTGGTGATGTGGTTTGTACTGGCCTATGATTCACAGTCTTTCTTCCTGAGTCTCCTCATGCAGGTATTAAGAAGTGTGTCACCATGGCCAGCCTTAGAGCAGTGAAGTCTAGTCTCCCACACAGAAAGAGCTTCTGTAGTCAACATCAACTGTTGGTTGACTTTCCAGGGCCTCTGTGAAGAAAGGCAGCTACTGGTCTGCTATGAACTCATCTACATGCTAGGAGCATGACTCTAGGGTACCATTCTGATCACCCATAAGTACAATTTATTATTCCCACATTAAGGATGGAGAAACTGAGACATGGGAAGAAAACTTATGTTCCCAAGACCACAGAACAGAATAGCACCTTCAGACTACATCTGTCTGAAGCCATGACCTTTTCTGAAATACTCTATTTGGGACCCTAGGCTTGAGGAACTCACGTGCATGATGTTCACACTCTGGTTAAAAATCTTCACATAGGGCTTCAGGATGTCAAAGTGGAAGGCAGGTGTCAGCAGACGGCGATGTCGACTCCACTTGTCACCAGAACTCAGGAAGAGCCCATCCCCTGGGAGGGCAGCAATGTCAGTGGGCAAAGATGGAATCTTCCTCTCACCCCAAGGTGTCCTCTGACCCTCACCTTGAGGTACTCACCCAGCCAGGGCTTCAGGAAGCCTAAGAAAGTCGTGTCCTTTGGGGCCACCAAAGCTGCCATGGAGGAGGACAATTAGGTGCCAGGATAGAAATCAGATGAACTATGGGAGGGGTGAGAACTCCCAGCCCCAGGGATTCCATTTCCCCTCCAAATACAGGAAGGCAGGAAGGGGACAGGCACAAAGGAAACATGAAAAAGAAAGAAGGTGTGGCAGGATCAGACCAGACTGCAGCAGCAGGGACAGCAAAGGTCACCTGACAGGGCATGGCATGGAATGGCACAGTATACTTTCACAGGGCTGCTGTATGGTCTACTATGTCATCCTCATTCGAGACTAGTACAACACTCTACAGGGCTTTGCAAAGACCTGGGACACACCAGTGTGGCTCTTTGACATGTCCTGACACACCCTGGTATATACAAAAGGGGCACATGTTAGCATGACATTTCATATAAAACACACATGGCATTCCTTGATATGCCACAACACAGTGTGTAACTGTCTGACATGACCTGTTTCTGCCCTTCAGATAATCCCAGATTGGCACTTCAATTTGGTCCCATTCAAATCCCAAATGTGACCTACATGTGTCACAGATCCCTCTAGCTCTCTCCTCTATGCTATACTAAGCATTAAGTGTGCATAATTAAGGGCCCTTCTATTCTCAGAGCCATGTGCCCACCACGAAGAGTTGCATCTGTCCTCTCCAGCTGTCAGGATCCTCCAAGGCCCACCAGACACAGTTGACCCTTCTGGACTCTGGTGCATTCCCCTGCAATTCCCTGTGTTCCAGCTTTGTTGCAAATCATCACCAGCTTAGATGACTTCTATTCAAGGTGGTTGTGGCAGCTGAGACTGAACTGAGAGGTGGGGGACAGTTCACAGTATGTTACATGTCTCCCAAAACCTCGGCTGTTCACACAGGAGATACCCATCTTTCGAGAATATCATTGGGGACAAATGGAAAGTAAAAAACAAAACAAAACAAAAAAACCACTATGTTGTTCTATTCTATACAGACCCGTTTTCACTCCATTTTTTAAAGGGAATCTTTATGTACACATTGTCAATAGTGTAAGATGCACACATTGCTAATAGTTTGCTATTCTGAGTTAACTATTCTCAATCAGGGGAGTACCAAAACGAATGTAAGACCCACATCACAGAGCCTTGTCAAACTCAGCATCTTTAGTGTGAACACAGCAGCACAGAGGGTTGATAATAAGGGAGAAATGTAAGACATGATAAGGAAAGAAACCTTGAATCTCAGAGGCAGACTGACTTTGTGACCAAAGGGTTGGAATTGAGCTCTGGAAAATCTGTCCACTTTTGCTGGCTGCAGAGGAGATATGAGGCAATGTTTCAGGTGGTGGACTCACCTACTCTCTTCTCAGATCACTACATTCTGAATAAAGCACAACTTAAAGATTCCATCCCTGTGCATGAAGAGATGGGTCAGTAAGGTAGCTCTTGCAGAAGACCTGGGTTTAGTTCAAGGCACCCATATGACAACACACAACCACCTGTAACTCTGGTTCCAAAGGATCTGCCACCCTCTTATGGACACTGAGGGTACTGCATACATGTGGTACCCATACATCCATACAGGTAAACACTCATAAAATAAAAATAAAGGTCTGACACAGTAGTACACACTTTTAATATCAACACTCGGGAGGCTGACAAAGCTGGGTCTCTATGAGTTCAAGGCCAGCCTACTCTACAAAGTAAATTCCAGGTCGGCTAGAGCTACAAAGTATCTCAAAGTAAATAAATAAATGCCTCAAAAATAAATATTTTTAAATGTCTGTATGGTGTTGCTACTGCTGGGAAGGTAGAGATAGGAGAATCTCTGGGCCTTACTGGCCAAACAGTCCAGATTAATAGGTGAGCTCAGGGAAGGGAGAGGTCTGGTCTCAATAAAGTTAGATAGAGTTTCAAGGACAGCAATTCAGATTGTCTACTGTCCTCCACATATATTCACACACACATGCATATGGACCCACACACTTGTACCCACAACCACAGGCAGACACATACAGACACAAAAAGCTATTATTCCCAGTTCTAGGATGGAACCTAACATTTGTTCATGGTAGACAAATGTTCTATTTCCAAGTAGATTCCAAGCCAATGCATTTTCTTCCCTGGCTTAGATCAGACTGGGTTTAGCTTCTATCACCCACAGCTCAAATTTAATCATCAACTGAGACTCAGGACCTCATCATCAGTGACTCAGTCACTCTACAGGTTAGCCGCATGGCCATTGTCAGACACAACCCCATGTGTTGCTCAGCTTGGTCAATCCAGGGATAGAAAGAGCTGAAATAAGAGACAGAGAAGAAGGCAATGGTAGGGATCCTAGAAGGGATACCTGGGGCCTGGAGCACGGGGGCAACAAATGCAGGGTCAACAAGCCTCAGCACAGGAATGACTGGGCCCAGCCAGCAGAGATGGATGTCTTGGAAAGTGTGTCCCATTTCAGTCACCACCTGCATGCCTTCCTCATTGTTCTGGATCTGAGGATGGAGAAGGGTGAGGCCAGTCCATACATGGCATCTCAGATGCTCCTGTCCTCTACCCAATATGCTCATCCCTCTAACCCTCCTGCTTGGACCACTTATGCGAGTCTCTTGATGACTCAATAGTTCAACTACATGTGTCCCTTCCTGTAGCCACATGTCTATCCACATCCCTCTCTCTTATGAATCACCCTTCTCATCTCTCTTTTGTGACATAGATATAGATAATTGGCCAGGCGGTGGTGGTGCACGCCTTTAATCCCAGCACTTGGGAGGTAGAGGCAGGTGGATTTCTGAGTTTGAGGTCAGCCTGGTCTACAGAGTGAGTTCCAGGACAGCCAGGTCTACACAGAGAAACCCTGTCTCAAAAAAACAAAAAAAAAATATATAATAAAATAAAATATAAGATATAGATAATTGAAGGATCAACGAATAGATAGATAGATAGATAGATAGATAGATAGATAGATAGATGGATCATAGGCTTCTGATGGATATATAGAGGATATATAGACAGATACATGATAGACAACATAGGTAGATGACATTGAAGGATGTGATAGGTAACTGGTAGCAGAGGAAAATGATTAGAGTGGTAGATCTCAATATAATTGTGTGTATTTATTTCTTTATCATAGTTCTGATTTTTTTCTCCATTTCCTTCATTTGATCATTCCCTCTCTCCTGTATGTGTGTATCTTTTTCTCTATGGGATTTTTCCTATAGCTAAATCATCTATCTCTCCTCTTGTCCCTTCCTTCCTCACCCCTCCATCCTCCACTCCAGTTACCTGTAAACTTACAGATAATTTCATCCCCACCCAATTCTCTCACTTGTCCCTAATTCACCAGAGCCTATTAAGACCAACTCTGTGCAAGCACCTCCTCAGTATTGCAGCAAAGAATCGTGGAGGTTTCCACATCTTGATTCCCAGTTCCAGAGAGATGTGAACTTGGAAGTCATCTGTGGAGGGAACTGATGGTTGGCGTAAGAGCTGGGTCCCTGGGGTGAGAAAAAAAGCTTCGAGAAAGACATGAGATGGAAAATGGGAAAGGGTTGCAGGGCAGTCATATGGAAAGGTCAGGTGGGAGGGAACGCAGTGGTGGACAGAGAAGGGTCTCAGGGAGCTCAGAGGAGACCAAGAAGAATGGAATGCAGGAACCAATAGGAGCTTCTAGGAAAGGTGGACAACCCAATGCACCAGAAAGCTTTGAGAAAATGAAGAGGATAGAGCCAGGATTCAGGGACCTGGAAATCATAAGTGTGAGAGAAATGAGAAACAAGCAGGAAAGGAAACAACCAATGATGATGATCCTTTGTCCATAAGCAGATGGCAGAAGCCTGATGGTGTTGGCACAAGCATTTAATCCCGGGGCAGGCAGTGGCCTTAAGGTCAGCCTGGCCTATGGAACAAGTTCCATGACAGAGAAAACTACACAGAGAAACTCGGCCCCCCAAAACAAAGAAGAAAAAGAAGAGAGCAACAGGAGGAAGAGGGGTAAGGAGAAAGAGGAGGAAGAGGAGGAAGAGGAGGAGAAAGAGGAGGAGGAAGAGGAGGAGGAAGAGGAGGAGGAGGAAGAGGAGGAGGAGGAGAAAGAAGAAGAAGAAGAAGAAGAAGAAGAAGAAGAAGAAGAAGAAGAGAGGAAGAAGGAGGAGGACTGAAGGTTTAGTACAGAAAGAGCATGTTGGAGGTATAAGGGTATAAGAATGGGAGATAACATGTCACCTGACTCTACAATATCACTGTAGATAACACAACAGAAAACATGGGGGTTGGGGGTCATCAAAAGCAACACTTTTCCAAATGCCTAAAGGACAAAAATGAATTGTCAAGAACCTCAGACTTTGAATCTTCGGTGGAATCTGAAATAATGGGGAGATGAAAGGGAACTGTCAGGAAGCTGATAGGTTAGTACGCACAAAGGATGGAGACACTGAGAAGACATTGGATAACAATGGTCAAATGAGACTGTTGGTAGGAAAGAGGATTCTGTTGAGAGAGGCAGTACTTCAATGAACGGCACTGGTGGTGACATCTATATTATAAATGATATCTAATCCTAAGACATAGTTATGCAACATGGAGCAACGTGGAGGAAGGGACTCTGGTGACCAGGGAAGGTGCTGAGTAGGAACTAAGGCCTTCCCAGGAAGTGTAGTCATTGCGATGAGACCAGAGAGAAGGCCAGACTGTGATGTGGGTTTGGAATAAAGTTGGTGCTTAGCATGTACAAACTCTAGGCCCTTCAGATAATCACTACCAACGTTCAAAAGTGTTCATCTTTGACCTGGATTGCATAATGGAGCCCACTAATGGATCTTCAGGATAGAGGGCAAGATGAGAAAGGAGAGTAGCTAAGAAGTTGAAGGGGGAATAAAACCATACAATCTCTCTTCTGTCCCAAAGTGTAGGCAGAGGTGAGAAATCACAGCTGAATCCTACAGGGCAAGAAGCAACCCAGAGAGGTACAGACACTCATCTGAAACCAAGAGAGATCAGCGAGGCAGGAGGAAAGACCTTGGACATACTGAAGGAAGACCTCAAATCTAACAATGAAACTATTATACCAAAGATGTCACTGCTCTGTGCTGTTCACCACAGGAGCCACTGAATATGACAAGCATCCAAGAATCAAGGAAACCTCAGTCCTGGTGAGACGGTGACCCACAGTGGGGCTAGTGCCTCATAAGGGAAACAGAAAGGCCGCCGGGCACTGGATTGACAGAAAGGCAAATGGATGTGGGGATGTGATGAGGAGAGAGGGGCTCAACTGGCTTTCCCTGCTTCTCCCTGCTACAGGCTCCAGACCTTTCCTGAGTTCTATGGAACATATACACCCCCAAACCCCAGCCTATCTGCTGCCATACTTACCATGCCTAAGTGACCCAAAAACCAGTTTCTTTTAGGGGGCTGAGGGAAACATCTGAGGCGGAAGCAGTTCTCACAGAATGAGTAAGTCCAGGCAAGAATTCTGGCCAAAATCCAGGAAGCTGCTCCAAGCAGCAGAAGATGCCATGGCGAGGCCACCACAGAGCCCAGGTCCAGTCCAAACACGCTTAGCCTCAGCATCCTGCTGAGCAGACAGACACAGGATAAGATTCTGAGGTCTGGAAGAGGAACCTGGAAAACTTCAGAATTTTGAGCAAAGGCAGAGACTGTGGATTTGGGAGTAGAGCAAAGAAGGGGAGGGAGATTCAGGAAGAGACAGGATGAAAGGGAGAAGGAGGGGGTAACACACAGACAAGGGCTGTTGAAAGTCTGGAATGGCTCTGCCTGAAGCACAAACGGTTATTCAGAAACCCAGGGTCACTTGTGCCGGCTGGCTCCATGGAGCGATCCCAGTGCTGATAAACTCATGCTCATCAGAGTCAGGACTCTCTCTTGCCTCACACCCCAAGCTGGTACCTTGTCTCAGGAGCGGCCTGTCCTTGAAGATCTTCTCCACACTCCTGAGAAAAGCATTTATCTCCTGCTTCCTAACTGCAGAGAGCTGTGTGGGGGCTGGGTTAGGTTGGACTGAACCAATCAAATCCCGCCCAGGCTCAGCCACTTCCTTCCTTTCTGGGCAGCAGGCCAAAACAAGTTAGGCCAGGCCAGACTGTAGTGGAGGGAAGGGACTCAGGGTGACAGACACACACAGGCAGGCGATCTGTTTTTAGGAAGCAACAACTCTGAGTCAAAGGCAAAGGTCACTCTTGGCCACCACATTTACAGCCATCCCTGCCCTTCCAAGTCTGCTGATAAAAGCATGAAGGAGAAAGTACAGGTGCCAGGATGCCTCATTCAGGACAGGATGTTCCCTGAGCATTTCCCAGGGTACCATGCACATCTCGCTGGGGTTGCAGCATACAAAATTTCTCACTGCGGGACTGCAGACCCAACTCTGGAATGTCTTGGCTCACCACCTACAGTC